TGCGTTCCTCCGGACTGTTGCTGGGTCTGCTGTTGTTGCTGCTTAGACGTCGATGGCTGTGGAGGCATATCATCGTCATCATCATCGCCAGTGTGCACATCATCGTAAAGCATACTGCTATCGTATTCTGGATCGCCATGGTCTCCATATTCGGCGGCGATTTGTTTGCGCATGCGCTGCTGTTCAGCAAATTCTTTGACCTCCTCCAGGCTGGGTTTCTTTGACGGCGGTGACAAGAGGCTCGTTTGTGCCGGTCTCTTGTTATTGTTGTAACCCTTGCGTAGCTGTTCGAACGGCGAAGTGGGCTCCTGTTTGACATAGGAGCTTGTGGATGTTGTCTCCCCATATTGTGTGCGATTGCTGATGCCGCCGGATCGCAAGATTGCGGGGGTATTTACTGCACGGGATTGTTGCACATTCGTACGTCCCGTGTTACTGTTTCCCGGACTGGAACCAATGCGATTTGGTGGTGTTGAAATGGACACACGTTGCTGGGCGGCCGTGGTATTGCTGCTGGGTACCATGGGACGACGTCGTATGCCCTTCGGACTGGGAGGCTGTTAACAGATAAGAAATAATTAGTTTACCATTTATGGTAATTGATAGATAACTGAAAATCTCACTCTTTGCTGCCGATTCACATTCTCCATAGTGCGGCGATGGGCCTCCAATAGCTTTAGCAACACGGTCATATTCATCTCTTTGGCGGTGCGCAACAGTTTGCCATACATTTTAAGTTCAAACTCAAGTGTGCCCGTGTACATGAAATTGACGATGGGCACAACGACATCTGCTTGAAATTCGCTCGGCATTATGAGTGCGTCGTCTATTATGTCGCAAGTCTGTTCCAGCACATTAAAATAATCGGTGCAAGCACTTAAAACTAGGCGATGCACTTTCAACTGTGAATTGTCGCGAAACTGCAGCGTCAAATCGCAATAGTCCGTTTTATTGAAGAAATTCTGGAGCTTCTGCAAAAAGAAGACGCCCCAGTTGTCCACTTTCACGGACTTCACTTCACCCATCTTGTTGGAAAATTTGTATAGTTAAAAATGCTTTATTTTTGAAACGCGGCCTCCCCGTCGCGATGTCTACAGTTGTCGTTGTTTGGCTTTCCTAGCGTGCGGCTGGCGCAACTGTACTCCGGTGGGGGCAGGAAAATTGAATTTGAGACACGGTTGCAGGAGAGCGGAGTGACATAGAATGCAAAAAATTATAAGAATTTTTCAATTAATGAGTGAAATTATTATTTTTGTGACATTTTCCGCACAACTAAAACGAACATCACGGGCGTCGATTGATTTTCAACAAACATATTAACTGCCCGTGGCGCGGCAATGCAGCTCCGATATGTTTTGTATGTGTGTGTGTATGTGTAAATGCTAGAGATGAGCGCGTGTCAATTTATCACGAATGAAAAACATTTGGCAAATAATATTAAATATTTTTATGCAAACTTTAGATATTTTACGATTTTTCAAATTAGCATCATATGGAATAAGAAATATACCCAAACATTAAATTTGGCATAACAGAATAAGCATTAACATGCCTTGCATGTATTCATCCACGGAAGTCACGCTCTCAACCCTAGTATGTATGCCACATATATATAATTGTAATCTGTATATGAAATGCAATGCCCCTAGCCTTCTTTGCACAATCCAACACAAATTACTTCAATTGCATATACAATGGTTTGATATTCTTTAATAAATGTTAGTGTTTATCAAATTGGCGCTATGTTCGTTTTACTTTTCTCATACAAAACGTTTATATGCAGACACAATCATCGCTAGAGTCAACTATATCATCATTATGCAAATTGTACTTTGGAATATATGTACATGCTTTCCGCGAATATTTTTAAGCATTTAAAACCATATTTACGTATTAACATACATTTGTTTTTTATTGCACACTGATTTTACCGGACAAATTTTTAATTTTTCCCGTTTAACAAAAAAGATGGCGTCAGAGTGACCTTATTGAAAATCCACATTTTTAGGCACGCCACCGCCACACTAACGATAATTTCCATAAAATCGATTAAAAATATGGTTTAGCCAGTAAAATAATAATGTTGGGTGAAAAATTGGCTATATATTCCTTGTAATCATATACTTTTTAAGCAGATAAGACATATGGTGAAAATCCTTAGTAATAAAATAGGCAAAAAATTGAAAATCTTTTGTTTTTAAAAAATTACTGGGCGCCAACTTCTACCATGCGGCTAATTTATCGAAATCGATCAAAAACGGTTGCTGCCAAGGCAGCACCAAAAAAATTTTATATAAATAAAAATAATTTTTAATTCAATCGAAACAAAATGAGTACTCGGCATAGAGGCAAATCCAGGCGTGGTGCTGGCGGAAGTTCTTATCGCAACGTCAAGTCAAGTCACAATTGCGAACGGAACTTCGCCCAACAGGCCAATGAACTGGCTACTTCCAATGCCACAGATAGCTCCGAATCGGAATCCGATTCGTCAGGTGACAACTTGGATGGACTTGGACATGCACCAGAATTCGCCGTATCCATGTGGGACCTAAATCACTGTGATCCGAAAAAGTGTTCCGGCAGAAAACTAGCACGTCTTGGACTTATTTCTAATCTGCGCTTGGGTCAAAAGTTTCCTGGGCTCGTCCTTTCGCCTGTCGGTCAACTATGTGTTAGTCCACAGGATCGCGAAATCGTGTCTACTTCTGGAGTAGCAGTTATCGACTGTTCCTGGGCGAAGCTGGATGAGACGCCCTTCAACAGAATGCGTAGTCCCCATCCTCGTTTGCTGCCGTTTTTGGTGGCCGCCAATCCTATCAACTATGGAAAACCCTGCAAGCTGAGCTGTGTGGAGGCAATTGCAGCGACCCTCTATATATGTGGATTCACAGAAGAGGCGCGATGGTTTATGGGCAAATTCTCTTGGGGTCATGCATTCCTCGAGTTAAACGAGAAGCTCCTCAATGAGTATGCAGCGTGTAAGAGCAGTGACGAAATATTAAAGGTGCAACAGGAATACCTTGACGCAGAGCAAAAAGAGCGTGACAAGCCACGGGATCTGAAGGAGTTTTACCCCACAAGCAGCAGTAGTAGCGAAAGCGCAGAGGAAAACGAGACTAGATAAAATAAATTTGTATATTATTTTTACAAGAGGCCAAAGACGATTTATTTGTTTACACAAATTCTACATGGGTGATTTTCTTGTTATATTACAAGCCAGTTGTGAGAAGCAACACTCTAATTCAAATCAGGAACAAATTAAAGAGAGCTGCTTAAGAGGTTTATCTAGCTAAATGTCTACTGAGCATTGCGCACATATTCCGGATCGACATTGATGAAGTTTGACATGTTAAAGTACATGGCGCTGTTCTTCACCAGAAACTTGAGGAAATCATGCAAGTGCGCCAACAGGGTTTGCATTGCCGGTTGATCCAAGGCCGAGTAGCTCAGCATCGAGCCAAGACGCACAAACAGGCGCAGAAGATGAAAGGAGCCATACAGTTCGGATAGCGGCGTATCCGGATTCTTTTGCATTATATCCGCATACTGGGTGCGCTCGAACTTGTACAGCAGCTGAGAGCCAAGCATCACATTGAAATACTCAATAATGCCATCGAGGACATCATTAATGGCCACCTCTTTGCTGGCACTGGTCGACTTCACCGACTTCTTGTGCGCCAAATACTGATCTGCGATCTGCTGCACTGTCACCTTGGCCGGCAGCTCCAAGAGCTTGTGCTCACGCACTATCGCATACCAATCATCGGTCAGATAGTGCTTCAGCTCATCGGGTATCTTTATTTTCACTTCCAGCTTTGCCGTGTAGTTCTCCTCGCTCTCCACGCACGGTGCATCAGCAACTGTTGTTGTTGTAGTTGCTGCTGTTGGCGTTGATGTTGTTGTCGTTGTTGTTGTTGTTGCAGCTGGTGTTGTTGACTGCTGTGCTGTGGCGGCGTCTACTCCATTGCCACTCAGAGATGAACGTTGTTCGCTATTGCTATTTTGGGAGCTCATGCGTTTGGCTTTAGGCGGCGGCGGCGCTGTGGGCGTAGCGGCCTCCTCTTCTGTATTGTCAGCAGCTGTTGCATCCTCTTTTTTGTCAGCACTCGGTGTGCTTGGACGCGCTGCAGCTGTAGCGGATTGTGTGGACTTGCGGTTGCTTCGACTAGTTGTGGTCGTGGTGGAGGTGTTGTTACTAGTGGTTGCGCTACTGCTGCTGCTATTACTGCCATCATTTTTGGTCTTTGATTGTGCGGCAGCGATGGGTGTGCTGGTTGTGGCGCTGCTGGAGCCTGTTGATGGCTGAGATTGGCTGCTGTCCTTAGAGGGTGTCGATGCACGGGATTCATTGCCTATATGCTCCATTTTTTTAGCCTTTGCACTGCCTACGACACATTTCAATGTTTAGCATATAATCAAAATACTGGCAGGTTACATGCTCATACCTTTTTTATTGTCCTTCTTCGAGCGTTCAACGTACAGTCGTGCGAGCTCCTTTTGGCGCTTTACGTTGTCGTCATTGTATTTCAGCACACGACTCTCTGGCACCCACTCATCCCAGCTGCGTATCATAGAGAAATTAAATTGAATTACATATGTATCACGTTACACTTCAAACATATTTACTTTTTACTCCAGCCCGCATAATGTATATAATATTCAACCGGCGAACTTTCCGGTTTTGTTTTGAGTACTTTGGCTTCATAGATAAGCGGCCCGTGAAAGCAAAGCACACGCTCCCCTAGAAAATAAGTTTAAAAAATTGAGCATTGAGCTATCTGCCACTACATTTTGTCGCATTACCGTCGGCAAATAATGTTGTGGAGTCAGATGGCGTCCAGTTGTCCATTTTTACGGGTTTAACTTCTCCCATTGTTTTTATTGAAAATATATGCCAAAGCGTCGCAGCTGATTGGATCAGGTTGGCAGCCCCGAAATATATACCTTCATACATATATGCATCGCCGATAATTTAGGGGTGCAAAAAATAAACAATAGTCGACAATTTATTGCACTGTATTATGAATGCATTTATTTACAATATTTAATGAACGTTAAGGTCTACATCACAATATATATATATTTAACATTTACTGCTTTGTCGCAGGCGAAGATGATGTCGTCGTCAATCCTTCCTCTTCCCACGGACGTGGACCGCGCTTGTTTGACCAATTCTCAATGTCTATGCCTTTTACCTTATCATATTCAGATTCAAGAGTCACTTCTTGACGTTTCTTCATGGTCACACCAAACTTCTTCATTTCTTCCGGTGTTACTGGTTGCATTTTGGCGTACTGATATCTGGAAGCAAACAAAAATACTTTATCAGGTGAGTTCCTAGTGAGATTAACGTTATTCACCTTACCTTAGATTTGAAAATTGCTGTAGTCCAAAAGAACCGCCTACTATCATAATTAGAAAGGGCACGCCATATTTAAAGGACTTTCGTTTGGTGTAATTATTCAGCTTTTGTGTAAAAGACATGTTGATGTTATTGTTATGAAATTATAACACAAGATCTTGCCAGGGCTGACGATAGACCGCAGAATTATGTATGTACTCTTATCGATATCAACACATCGATGACACTATCGTAATGACCTATCGGGTCTGGCGGACTTTAGTTTTCATTTGACTGCTAAAATTGTGCACTATCATTAGAATTTCTGAACTGATACAAAAAATTCGCAGCTGTTACTTGAATTTATATAAAAATATCGCACTTTAAATATTCGCATACCCTTGATGCGAATTGCCAAATTGCTTAATTGTCTAGCTGCTAGAAATTACGAATGCCCAATTGTTTTCCGGCTAACAATAAATTTCATGTTTGTTGCAGTTCTTTATTTACATACGATTTGGCGTTAAGTTCAAGGTCTAGAACGATTGTTTCTGCACATACGTATTCAGCAACTAATTGACACTGACGTCGCTATAAGAGCGCCAAAAAGTTTCTCACATGCACGCCACGACATTTGATATGGAACGAACAGCGCTGCCTGTGGTTCACCTTGGCCGTTATGCAGCCGACCGACCAGGCAAGGCAAGGCAAGTGGCTCGATGTAAAGATTTCCTTTTAGTACCAAAGCCGAACCAGTTCACAAGGAGCTTAGACATCGACGTCGACGTCGACACGGTGACAATTGAGTCATCAATCGATGTACGCCAGTTGGCGATCTGCGAATATTTTTTCATTTTCCGCTTGCAGCTTGTTGTTGCAGTTGTATGTCGCAAGTCGTCTAGGCCGAAGCTTAAAGTTTCCATAATTTTTGTTCAATTTTCACCAAATATGGTCGCAATTTTGCTAACAAGATTTTGCACTTGTTTGAGCTATAGCTCGAATTCAAACTTGTGCACACATAAAAATATGTGTATATAGAAATAAATAAATACATATATATATTTTTTAGAACACTTTGGAATTATGAAAAATCCGTTGTATTTATACGCATTATATATGTTATCCATTTGGCCATGATTTTGTTTATCATATTTAGCAAGTTGTTTTAGTATTTTGGCCATTACAATGTTATCCTCAATTGAAAGACATATGTATGTATATGTTTTATGCACAATATATATACATAAATAATAAATATTTGTATATGTATTTGTTTTCCGTTTGCTGGTCTTCTTGGCCACTGCCAAAAATATTGAATGAAAACAGTTACGTCATCATGTGGGTGTTGCTCGGATTTAAATAGACATTTTTTCTGTGCCCTCATTGCTGAACAGAATTTCTCCAAAACTTAAGAACAGCATATGCTGCTATTTAAATCAATAATTATATATATTTAAATACATAATATATGTATATATATTTAATATGAACAAAATATATGAAAATTTATCTGTTGAAATTAAATATGGAAATCTGTTATATACGATTAATTTTAAATAAGATTAATATTTAATAATAAATTAATACAAATGAGTTCTTTACTTAAGAAATTCTTTCGGACTTTTGTATTCTTGTTGAAAATGCTCATAAACACATACATTTTAAATTAAAAAGCAACTACTTTGTGTCTTTTTAGAATTTTGTACTTTAGCATATATAATTTTGTAGAACATCTCATTATTTGAATATATAGGAACCGCTAAATGTTTATGTCTACAAGTTAAATCTTTAATAAAGAAATAAAGAATTACTTAACTAACTTACTTAATATGAAATGTGAAAAAAATTGTAGGCAATTTAATTTAAATAAAAAAAAAAAATAATAATAAAAATATGTTATTTAAAAAAAGATCTACTATAATTTTCGATTACTACTTATTATATACATATATTATATTAAGGATTTAAGTATTAGTATTCCTTATAGGAGCTACATAAAGATATTTAAAAAAAAAAATAAAATTTTTTAAAGTAATAGATAAGTAAAAGTCTGAAATATATAACGGCTATCTGAATTATAAAAGTTTAGTTTCCGGAGCTGAATATGTAAATACATATATTAATCTCAAAGAGAAATTATTAATAAAAGTAGATAGCTTTTGTGACATAATCTATATTATCATTTAGCAACAATATATTTAATGAATTGTGCGTGCTCAAAAGTAAAATATTTCATCTTTAAATATAGATAGGTTAGGCTTTAAATCATAAATTGGTATTTATCACGTTCTGCACTAGATTGTGACTCAGAACAGTCTTGCTGCAATGGCTTTAATTCTTGGCTTAAAAATAATATATATACAAGTATGCACATATATATATATATATATATATATATATATGTATATATATATATATATATATATATATATATATATATATATATATATATATATATATATATATATATATATATATATATTCTCTTACATACATATATATGATTTTCCATGCAGTGGGAAATAAATTCAAAATCATAAAAACATTTTGAAAAATCTATAAAAAATACGCACAATACAGCAAAAAAAATATGTATGTATATAAGAGATTGTGAAGCAAAATTTTGTTTTTTGGCATATCAATAACTGAAATTTAAAAATAGCTCAAAAAAAAAAAAAAATCAGCCAAATAAAATAAAACAAAATCTTCATATACACACACAGAGAAGAATACAGGCACATTAAGCTTAAAATATACTGGGAAATTTTAAAATTCTTTGCGCCTACAAAGGAACAGGTGAAAGAGAAAGAGAGAGAGAGAGTTATTTAAATGAGCGCCACAATTTCGTTGTTGTTGCTGCATCGACTTGTTCTTTTTTTGTGTTCTTTGATTTCTCGTGCCTGTGCAGAAAAATAACGCGCTCGTAAATTGAGCACCCGTCGTCTGTGGCCATCGTGAATGCAGTTACAAAATAAAAATTTGAGCGCTCAACGATTTGTGTTGAGCATGCAAAACGCATGCCAGCTGCTGAGAGAGCAAACGAGCGTGCGAGTGAGGCGGTGCAGCAGTGCTGCCTGCCTCGTTGCTTCGCTGCTTTGCCCAAAATGTATTTCTGCTCACTCTCTCTCGCACACACACAGACTCTGCACACGCACACAGGCGCAAACAGCTTGAAATCGAAAAACGGCGGGCATCGAACGTCAGTATATTGAATAAATATTTTCAGTTGAACATCACAATCCGTTCAAGTCGCGGATAACTCCGAATAAAAGTTTTGTAAGTAAAAGGAATAAACAAGAAAACCTACAAAGAATCAAACTAGTTAAATCTTTTCAAACAGTTCAACATTAAATTAACAAATATTAATTGTGCTGCAGCTAATATTTAAGTTTAAAGCAAAAATTTAATTGAAAAACAAACAAGTGCCGAGAGTTTTCTTAAAAAAATTAAAAAAGGACATTGCCGAAAAATTACATAATCAAATCTAAAATACAAATAACAAATAGTTCAACTAATCAAAGTGCTGTGAATAACCGCAAATACTTTGCCAAGTATTTCAAATATTTAAGATAAATATATATACATATAAAAAAAAATTGAGGTTAAGCAACTTTGGCAAACAGTTTGAACTAATGCAAAAAATTATGATGACAAAAAAATTAAGAAAAGCCAATGTCTTTGTCTTAACCACAACTTGAGCTCTAGAATTTCAATTAAACGCATTGCATGAGATTAAAATACATATACATACACATATGATATGTGCATATATATATATGCAAATATAGTCAATAGGCTAATAGAAACGTGCTTAGATTAGATAAATTTACAAAAATATGTTGAGGCAGGACAAAAGAAGACAATAAAATGTAGCATAACTTCTAGATATTTTGTTTTGGCTAAAAAGAATTGTTATTTTTGGAAATAGTTCTCATGGTTTATAAGACCTCAAAGACCCCAATTATATTTTTTTATATTTCAAAATATTGCAAAATCACAAGCTCTTTATCCAACAGGGTACACTGTAATTTGATACAGAACCAGAGTGGCCGACGTTCGAATCTATCTAAAGACTGGCGTAGGCGAAATGCTTTCGTGTGTTCCTGAAAAGCTTTTCTCTCAGTTTATATTAAGTAATATCCATTCGCATAGCTATTAGGAAATATTCAACAGATGCCAGGCTATTTTTAGAGACACCAAAAGTACGAGAGACTATGATGAGAGAGAGAGAGAGAGATTGAGATTGAGTGTGATCTATGGAGCTTTTATAAGCTTTTAACGCTGCCAGGCTTTTTCAAATACACTTTTATATATACATTTGCATGTGTTTTTGATAGATACATTATATATATATATATATATATATATATATATATATATATATATATATATATATACATATATATATATATATATAATAAAATATATATATACATATGTATCAATATATATATGTATATATTTGTACTTTAAAAATAGCTGAGCATGCAAATTGTATGTATACCTGTTTTTCTTTGGATTATTTGGAAATTGTGAAGCTTTTGAAAATTTAGAATATTTATAAAATTGTGCGCTAGTTAGAATATAGCCGAGTAGCTGCCAGTTAAGGTGTGTATCAATATGTATAGATTTGTTCTATATCTAAAAATGTTAATGTGCTTAAAACCTCAAGATTTTGTACTATTTGGAACTATTACTATAGTACTATAGTACTATTGGAACTATAGAAATTCAATTCTAAAAAAGTCTACATTCATTGTTAATATTGTGACCAAAGGAAATAATGCAAAAAGAATTACAACTTATTTTTAAATATATAAACAGTAAGATCTATAAAGTACTTCCATATAAATACTATATTTGTATATATGTATGTATGTATATTCAACTGTATCAAAAATTCATACAAAACCATGGCATCCCTTTTTGGTTTATCAACTGAATCTTGGGTATTAACAGCATTGCATTTTTTTTAGATAGCAAACAAATGAGGAGTTTTTCGTATATAGGCTATATAGCTATATAGGCTCGTTTGTAGATGTATGTCATTGCCATTATTCGTGCCTCCGAAGTTATAAAATTCCAAAGTGATTTTCTGCTGAACAAACAAACATAATTCATTGTGTCACCTCGTTCGATTTGCGACATATATAACTACTTGTAAGACCCCATACCGTCTGTCCGTCTCAATGGGATATATATGGGGTATATGTATGCATATATATACATATATCTATATGCATATAAATTTCTGCTTCGATTGCATTTTCAGTTGTTGTTGTTGTTTTTGTTTGCTTGCCTAAAAGCCTGAAACCTGCCTTCGCTTAGCCAGTTGAATCTCTTTCAGGAGCTGCAATGTAAACAAAAGTGTTAAAAATAAACTCTGATGTACGCAGTATTATAAGTAATACAAGCACCCAAAGCTGGGCACTGACTCAATTAGTTTGGCATTCCAGCCATGACAAATTAAAATGTTGGTCAAGTATAATGCGCAGGGCTAACCCAGAGCTCCTCACAGCTGAATCCACAATCTCTCTCTCCCCCCTTCCCACCTCTTTCTTTCTTTTTCTCTGTCTATCTCTCTCTCTCTCTTTCTTCCTCTTTCTCTCTGTTACTCGAGTATGTGAGTCAGGCTGTTAGGCATTTTATTCCTCACCTTATCAACGCGACATTTATTCGACACGTTCCCCGCCTGGAAATCGCAGAGTTCAAGTGAATCGATGAGAGTTCGAAAAGTGCAAAGAAAACACAATCAGTTACTCATCTTATTTATCAAATTTGAGAACTTCATAATAATACAAGAGCCAGTGCATTGGGAAATTAAAAGAGGAAACCAATGCAATGCGCCCGACTAGAAGATACCCTATTCTGAGAATTGGGAGAATTTTAAGTATTTCTATTTTTTAATATTTGTAAATTTACTTCACGAAGTCATCAAGTTAAGTCTCAGTTACTTTGTATTGTATATATTATGACCTATTTCAATTAAACATAAATCAATGTATGCGGCCTTTTTAAGTTCTTGAATTAGCAGCTCAAAAAAGTTTTCAATAGAATCAAATATATGTATATATCTTTGTTTAGTTCAAATTTTCTTTACAATATATGTTAAAATAAACAATAACCATATAATAATTAAATGGCTTGATAAGCTCAGCGAACTCAATTAACTATATGCTAGATCAGGCACATTAACTTATTTATTATCGAACGAGCTCGAAGCTCCAATTCCGTTTGAGCACTTGCATATCGCAAATTCATGTTCTGTATCAAAATCTTACATATTCATTTTTTTTTACATATACATTATTATACCCTGAACCCATTTTCAATGGGAAATCAGGGTATAATGGTTTTGTTGAAATGTATGTAACAGGCAGAAGGAGGCGTGGCAGACCCCACAAAGTATATATATTCTTGATCAGGGCGACGAGCTGAGTTGATTTGGCCCTGTCCGTCTGTCTGTCCGTCTGTCCGTCTGTCCGTCTGTCCGTATGTATGAACGCGTCGATTTCAGAAGATATAACAGCTAGAGACTTCAAATTTTTTTTAAAATGTCCGTAATTACAGCGCGCATATCAAGTTTATCATTAAAAATCGATAACTCATCCCGATCTTTTTTTATCGATAAAAAACCTTATCGAAAACAAGTTATAAAATTATATCCTCTACACCTTTATTGCTAGAGTCTCCAAATTTTTAATGTATGCCTATATGCAATTTATACAATTTCGGTTTTTGTTAAAATTTACCCCCCACCCTTAAATTCACCCCCTCACCCTCACTTTTGTAAAAAGCGTATTTCAAATACTAGAGACTTGTGCTTTGGCAATTACATGCATATCCATGTCATAATCATAATCTGAAAGTTTCATGAAGATCGTACGTCCACAAAAAAGTTATTAAGTAATTAAGTTCTCATAGTAAGCGCTCACTGCCGCCCATGCGTGTTTATGCTTGTGTGTGTGTATATGTATGTAATTGTTTGTGTACGTGTGTGTGTGTGTATGTTTGTATGTATGTGTGTGTATGTATGCCTGTGTGTGCGTGCGTGCGTGCGTGTGTGTGTGTGTGTGTGTGCGTGTTTCTTGTGTAAGCTGAAAGACGCGAAAAATTATTGGAAATAGCTATTACTCCAAGGGTTCAGGGGATCTCGTAGTCGAGTAGTCTCGACTAGAGCTTTCTTACTTGTTATTATTGTTATTATTATTATTAATATTTATTATTTTTTTTTTTTTTTTTCAATTAAAATCTTGAATATTTAATCTTTTAGACAACGAAAAACTCAATGTAATTTTTACTTTTTTTTTCGAAATTTGTGACCTTAGAGAAGTCATGACACACCCATTAGAGTCTTATTTTATTACAGCTAAACATGTCTTTCCTTCACTCTTTACATTGATAATCTCTTTTGAGCCTAACTCATCTGGGCAAGCAGCTTTAAGCTGCTTTGGTTGTTCCATTAATCGATTCGTAGTCAGGTTCGCATCCCATTGTTTCAGTTCACAAATTGTATTTTAATATTTCGCTGGCGTCTTTCAATTTCTCATCATTTAAATCATTTAGAGCTATAGCCAGCACGTTCTTCAACGATTTGTCTGTCCCCAAAATAAGATTTCGAACAAAGCGCAAGAGAATGGGAACTCTGCTCGGGATGAAGCACCTCCTCCCCCAATTAGCTATGCTGGTCACAAGCGACTCTTCGCGAAGCTGGAAGCATAGCTAAGTAGAGAGCTACCAAAAATTGTGTCAATTTCTTTCAGCTTATTTGTATTTATTTTGCTTTATGATAAAATAAACTAGAGATGTGCAAAAAATAAGCGAGATTTGTACAATTATGGTCGTATTAATAGGTAGCCCAACACAGACTTTGGGTGATTTATACCCAGAACCCATTGCTAATAAGAAATCTGTGTTTAATGGTTTTGTTAAAATAAATATGGAAAGCACAAGGAGGCGTGACAGATCCATAAGTTATATATATGCTTGATCAGAACGACGAACTGACTCAATAAGTATGAACGCAAAGATCTCAGAACCTATAACAACTACAGACTATAGATTGATTTGTAGGTTACTGCTGACCTATGAGTGATCGAGTTTGTTTTGAAAAAGTCTATAACTATTTCTCTTTTAATATTATCGATTAAAAAGCGATTCAAATTTTAGTCAATAGTTATATCTTCTATTATTATTATTATTATTATTATTATTATTATTATTATTTAATAAATGTAGAAAATTAAACGACAATAAACATATACTAAAAACCTATCCTAAAAACTATAAAAATTATTGTTAACTTGTTGTTGTAACGTGGAAAATGTTGTAAAAGTCATAAACACATTGTATACTTCTTTAGAAACTCTAATGTAAATCTATCAGACAATAACTCCATACATCTATATCAGTATGTATGTATATGGTTTCTTAAATCAGATAATCATAAAGAGTTGTAAATTCACTTTCTCAAATCTTATGTGGCGCCGGTTATCGCATAAAATTTAATTACTTTATTGTTTTGATATTAATTTCCATTTCAATTGGGATTTACGTTTTGATGTTCATTTCAATTTTCCATTTCAGTTTCTTTCGAGCGCAGTAGAGACAAATAAAAGCCAGCCACCATGGATGCCATCAAGAAGAAGATGCAAGCGATGAAAGTCGACAAGGATAGCGCATTGGAGCGCGCTCTCGTTTGCGAGCAGGAGGCACGCGATGCCAACACCCGCGCCGAGAAGGTAAGCACTCGACCGTGCAACGCATGTTGCATGCCCCAGTCCAGCCAAGAAGCAGAAGAAGAAACATAAACAAAACTATTTATTGCTAACAATGAAGAAAACAACCATAATTAATGGCTGTTAAATTGTTAACACCTGCATATTTAATTACCTGTTGCCTGTTACCCTGTCCAATAATAATCGATATCTCTCTCTCTCTCTCTCCCTTCTTTGTTATCGATCACAGGCCGAGGAGGAGGCTCGCCAACTGCAAAAGAAGATCCAGACCGTTGAAAACGAATTGGATCAGACCCAAGAGGCTTTGACCCTGGTCACTGGCAAACTGGAAGAGAAGAACAAGGCTCTGCAGAATGTAAGTCCACAGTTAGAACAATTTATATATATTAAATTCCAAATTAGTTTAGTCCTAAGTTAGAGCTAAAAGACAATTATAAACAATTTTTGAATGAAAAAATTTGAATAGGTTAGGCTTTGCATGAGTTTTTAACTGGTTTTATATATAGTTACATATATTATTATATTATGATCAATACTGATGTAATATTAATTATCAGACATAGAATTTTGTTTACAGTATTATTGGTTTTTATATTTTAAATATAATTTCATAGTTCTGTTTTAAAAATCTATTATTTTGCATATTTGAAAAATTAAATTAATTAAAAATCGAGTAAAACCTACCCTGTATACAAATGTCTTCTATTTAAAATATTTATAGTAATTCAAATGCCATAGAAAAATTAAAAATGTTTATTAAGAAAAAAAAATCTAATTAACTTAAAAGCTCTTTAAACATAATTAGATTAAAATTCAAATTTAGATGCAGACAAGTTTCTTTTGAAAACCAACTCTTTCAATTTCCACATATATTATCTAATCATATCCGAAAGTAGGTCATCTGCAGAATTTTAGAATATTTTTTGAGACTGTCTAAGTATTACTAGAGATTTATGATACGTATATTCTGAATAAGCATTGTTTCCATTGTGAATTAGTCAGACGAATGCAAGAAATACACTTGAAATCAATACTAGAATAAGACTTTTATGACTATAGATATATATAACCTATAAATATATATACATACATAAACAATTTGGTGACAGCGAAAATGGGGTTTGGGCATTGGAAATTTGTGCCATCTGTTTGGCATTAAGAATTTCACGGGTGTTTTACGTGTTGATTTTCATAAATGTTTCCTCGTCAAATGTTTGGGGAAATGCGTTCTGTATGCTTCCCTTATATTCCATAAAAACTTTAAAGTTTTTTAAACAGAAATAAATGAAAGAAGAAATTCCAAGTGAAAAACATCGAAACTGATTTGCTGTTGGCAACGCCTTTGTAGCGCGCTATTTTTAAATATGTTTAAATAGCTTTGGCTGGGTGCGAAAGAGACGCAGCGACTGTGCAGCATGTGCGTTTAAGCGTGTTTGTGAGAGAGTGTGTGTGTGTATCAAATAACGCAAAAGCAAAGACAAAATGCGATGTTTTTCTTTTACTGTGTTTGCTTTAGCTTTGCCAAAATATTTGCTCAAGCAAATTTGTTTTTTCTATTCTTTTTCTCTACAATGAGAAATTTGAAATAGCTGCCGCGCAGTATTTAGCACATTTTTCTTGGACTGTTCGGTTGCGTTTCCAATTGGAAAATGTATAAAGTTTTTCATTTGATTTGATTTGGTTTTTTCGATTTGGATACGAAAGTATTTCAAGGACATTCGCCGTTTTCGTTGCCAATTGGCAGCGTTTCAAAATAAGTAAAAATATGTTTAGTGTTCACAGGTAACGAAGAAAACAATAAAAAAAAATGCTTATCAGACAACATAATTCAAAAGTTTTGACAAAATACTTTGGCCCATTATCATTATCAATATATTTTGATGTCATTGTTGCTTGCCGCACACCCTTCCCTTAAATAAATAATGATGAGATACAGACGACCGAGACGGCTGAGTAATATGCGCAAATATGATAAAAGAAATAGAGAAGCGAATAAACAGCAATTAAATCAAACAGAACACACAAATGAAATTAACAGAAAATGAAAATGGAAATGAGTACAGAGCGAGCAATCACACTCCCGCTCTCTCACTCTCAGAGAGTATGCAAGTGGGCGGCGGGGGCTGACAGTGCTAGTGCCTTGCGCTCCTTTACACCCGCATAGCGCACGCACTGCAACACTAATACATATGCAGGCGGGAATAGCTGTGCATAATGCTGACTCACTCGCACATGTGCCGCACTGACTGTCGCTGCCACTACCGCTTGGCAGGGGGCGCTGCCACCACCACCACCACCACCACAACAACAACACCATCAGCAGCAGCAATGGAAAGACAGTGAGTATGTGAATGAGAGAGAGAGAGAGCGCGCGCGGCAAAGAGACAGAGCGCGCGTACGCCGCGATGAGCGAGCGCATGGCCACAAAAATGATCGCACAACACTTTCAAGTACAACGCCAAAGCAAGCAGCAAGCAGCAACTGCCGGAGGGGCCGAACAACTAGCAGCCGAACCGAGCCGTCCGCACGCCGCATTAATAATTACAATAAATTCAATAATAATTAGTCAATTAATTCAATAAATAATCTTAACGTCTTCTTAGTAATTTGGTAACAAGTGAATCACTATTTTTATTTAATTTCATTTAAGTAAACTTTTAGTGATTTTCAATTACATAAATTCAATTACAATAAAAGCAACGGCAACTAAGATCGCAAAAACAAAAAACGTGTTGCGGAAGTTGGCCAAATACGCAAATTTTCCCTTGCTCAGTTTTTAACGCGCGACTGAAAATTGAGAAAAGCGAAAAGAGAAAGAGAGAGATAGAGAAACCGTATTAAATCATCAGTAAAAATAGATAAAAGACTCAAAGCTAACGGTACTATGAACACAGCTGTTTGAACAACAACAACAACCAAAGAGAAAAACAACACGCACCAAATCACACAACAACAAAATAAAAAGCGGCAGTTTATAATTAATATGTACGAGAAAACATTAACAATAGGAACTGCAAAAGTTAATAATGCATATGAGTGGCAAAAAGTGAGTTACAGCAAAAATCAATCGACATCGACAGCGAAGGCGGCAGCGGCAACGGCATCGGCGTCGGTGGCTAAAACCAAACAAAAACAGCAAAAGCCTAAAACAACATTAACAAAGACAGCAAAAAATGCAACAGATATACAAATTAAACAAACCAATTTGAACCCTAACAAATGAACAACAAAAGTTTTAACGTATCTTAAGCCGGCAACGCAAACGCCGCTTATTAAAAGATACGTTGGCAACGCGGCACGTCGTCAAACGCTTGCGCACCAAATAAAGCGGGCACATCGCCATCTATTGACGAGTGGCGGCAACGATAAGCAACCGCCAAAACAACAAAAGCGTAATAATAAACAAATATGTACATTAAAAGACAATCATTTTGTATAGAATGCAACGCATTTTTCGGGGTTTCCGGACTATTATGCTATGCATTCTATGCAAAATGAAAACAAGTGCACAAGGCAAACGTAGTTGTAGTTTTTTCTTTTGTGAAGAAACTTTGTCTTGTGCACTTGGCTGGTCACACTTTTTCTCAGCTATCGATATTGGTAATTGCAAATCAGCTGATTTGCACGATATGTGTACCGAAAATACCGATATCGATATATAGTAATATCAACAATTCCATATAAAGCAGGTAGCAGCGCAGCTGCTGCAGGACAGCAGGCAAAAACAACAAAACAGCAGCAGCAACAGCAGCGCAACAGACGCATAATTAATGCAAATAAACAGTCCCAAAGCCACAAAAGTGAACAACAGAAACACAAGCAAAAAAAGCAATCAAATAGCAAGCGTGGCAAGAACGGCTCCGACGGCTGCAAATCGGAGCTTTCATCCCGTTGGGGCTCCATCGAGGAGCAGCTGAATGTGCTCGATAAACTGCTCTACTACGATGAAAAGGCGGAGCTTTATCTAGCCCAACTCTACAATAATTATCAGCAGTTGCAGCGATCGCAATCGGAGCTATCGGACGACTGGAGTTGGAGTAATTCCGATTCAGAAATGTCACAGAGCAATAGCGTCGACGACGATGCGCTGTCCAGCACCAGTGGTGCGGGCAGCCACAGCACCATCAATTCCAATTCCAATGCCTCGTCTCTTGTGCCGTCTTCGCTCAAGAGACGCGGCCACCAGCATCATCCACGCTTCGCTGGCACACGGCGTCCTAACGTGCCTAATGTGCAGGAAATCCTGGCCGCCCTCTATCGCGGCGACTCCAAGGGCGTGCTCTCCAATTTGCGTGGCGAATCGACGCCGCAGACGCAGCCCCCAACAGAGGAGCAGCCAGTTGCTAGTCGCAGCTCGCTCAGCCTTCCTCTTAGTGAATCTGTAACAAATTCTCTGGGCAGCAACAGTCCCACACCAACTGATGAGAGCAGCATGCTGGACGAGACAATGCCAGCAGTGACGCCAGCAGCAGCAACTGCAGGTGAACCAGACGCGCTACCTGCTGCCAGTAGCAAAAAGAAGAAGAAGCGTGACAAAGGCGACAAAGAGAAATCGGACCGCAAAAAGAAATCCTCTTCAAGCACTGGAGGCAAGCGTGAGAGAAGCAAACGTCAAGGTGGCAGCGGCGGCATAATGGACGTTAGCAGCGACAGCATTGCAACAGATCTCAGTGCGGGCGCCATTGATGAGGGCATTGTACTAAATCCTGAGGATGAGGACTCACAAGCCCAGGAATGGGCAAAGCTGCGTTGCACCAGCGAAGCGGCAGAGATTGTGGCCGAACGGGAGGCGCGACGCAACAAAGGACGTTGCGCTGACTACCCGGGCCTGGCGTTCGGACGCTCCATCTTCAGCTCCGACACCATGATGAAGTTCAACATCATTCGGAATGAGCTGCACAACATTATGAACACGCAGCTGAAGCGGGTAATTAGCTGTGGGCTAGCCTAATCTTTAAAACACCGAATTTACTCCATTTATTTGCACTAATCATATTTTTATCTCTTTCTTCAAGCCGCCTTTGTTGTCGCCTCTGCCAGAAAGCGTAAAAGACAAAACTATGCAGAAAGTTTGGTTAGGTTCAGAGTGAATTCTGTCTATTATTCTATCTATGAATGCTCCAAATTTGTTCTTTTTGTTCTCTTTTTCGCACACACACACACATACACACATGTATATTTGTATGCGTGAATTTGTGTGCATTGCAAAGCGATTACGTCGCCGTCTTCGT